CACACATACATATGATTAAAAATAACAATAGGAGCTGGAGAGGTGGCCTGGCAGTTGGGAACACTTGTTGCCCAAATGGATTCCTAGCACCAGCACGATGGCTAGCCACTGTCAGTGACTGGGTTTCAGGGGATCAGATTGCTTCTTCTGGCCTCTGCGGATACTGCATGAACATGGTACACAGCCTTCGTGCTGGCAAAACTACACATATACACAAAATAAAAATATATAGACCTTTAGTGAAACGGAAGAAGCATGCAGTAAATAGCCTTTATAGCTTGGATTCTTTCTTTTCTTTATTTGTATTTTTTTTTTAGGCAGGGGTGAGGAGGCCGGAAGATGTGAGCCTACTTCCACTTTGACCAAAGGTCAGAGAGTTGGAACTCTAGTTCCTTCAATGTTATTATGTTTCTATCTCAAAGATCCAACCTAGATTCAGCTCGGAGAGTTCTGCTCTCTCAAGGTTATTGTCAACAGGTGTAGCTAAATCCAGACCTTGTATTTCAGGAATAGGGAAGTTGATGTGTTCCTACCTCAAACAAAAGTCTAAGAATCCTAAGGGTCCAATTCCTTTAAGGAGAGAACATAGGATTCCACCCAGGGAGTGGTTTGCCTACAGAATGTTTTGGTTTAGGGCATGAGCGTGACTTGCTGACTTGTCTTATTCTAGCAACAGAATGTTTAACAATGGATGTAGCCTGCACCTTCAACTGGTATGTTCATTTCCTTGTATTGTGTTAATGCAGTCTTTTGTCTTACTCCTACCTTTTGGGGTCAGTGGTATTTAAAGCAATTGGAAATTAAACATGGGCAGTATCACTGGAATTCCCTCCTGATACTATCCTATACGTTTCTCCGTTTCATTATTTTCATTTGCATCTTCATATTCTTTACTATATTCCTAAATCCCCACTGTAATTATATGTCCTGTCCCTTTAAGAGACGAGCCACGCCCACCCCCCCACCAGTTTGCCGAGGCCAGCAGGTCTTCAGCTTCCAGCTCGAGTCTCTTCCTTTTCAGCCTCCCTCTCAAAGAGGCAGCTTTCATCTCTCCCTTCTCTCCCCCCACACCTCTGTCTCTCTACTCTTCTCCCCTTCTCCTTTTCCCCTCCATAATCCACGAAATAAATATCCAACCTCACTCTGCATGGCATGTCTATCTGTCTGTCTGTCTCTCGTCCATTGTGTGGCTCTCTGCCCAGGACCAGCTGCCTTCGAAGATCTGCGGAGACCTGTGGCGTGGTCTCATGCATCTGGGACTGGCTGCTCTGGGGCTCTCATGGCCGCTGCCCACTGCAGCCACTCGGGATCCTGCAGCATCTTACTTAATCCATTACACCCACGCCTGTACCCTGGCAGGAGGTATTTTTGTTGAGGCTGGTCCTTGACACAGGGGCTCACTATGTAGCCCCGGCTACCCTAGAACTCACTATGTAGACCAGGCTAGACCCAAATTCACAGATCCACTGGCCTCTGCCTCCTGAGTGACGAGATAGCTTGGCTCCTATCAGCCTCACTTTGTAGCAGACCAGCTGTGTGGGAGAGTCAGTTCGGCCCTATGGAGTCTGAGGGTGACAGTTTCGGGAGACACAGAGTGGGGGTGGAGAGCCTGGAGTAAACAGCAAGGCTACCGGGCTCCTCCTTGGCTACTGAGGCAGAGGGAGAAGATGAGAAAGTGACCGGGAAGGAGGGTGGCACCGTGGGGCATCTACACTGAGGTGGGTGGTAGGCTTTGGGCAATGTTTCGATTGTGGAAATGGCAGATTTAAACCCAGGTCTGGAATCAGGGTGGAGCTGGCCTGAAGTCACAGCTTCATCCATGCCTGCTACCCTAACAAAACAGCAGGGACAGGGAGCTAGATAGGACAGAGATTTGTTTCTTACAGTTCTGGAGGCTGGAAAGTTCAAGAGCAAGCTAGCCAACAGATTTGGTGTCCAGCCAGTCCCTTCCAGTTGGCATCCTCCCTGTGTCCTTGCATGTTGGGTTGGCCTCCTCCCGGTGTCCTTGTGTGGGAAGAAGAGAAAAGCAAGTGGTTTAGCTTGCTCTCTGGGGCCCTGTAGTTAAAGCACTGATCCACTCCTGAAAACTGATTAATCACTCTCTAAATAATTGATGTCATTCCGACCACACCTGTCTTCAGCTGCAGTTTACAGACTTGGGAGGGACACAGACATCCAAACCATATCTGGGATGGATTTCATGTGAACATAAGGGAAGAAGCCATGCTTACTTGCTGAGTCCTGAGATGAGATCAAGCTAGGGCCAGAGTCAGGGTGAGAACCAGAGAGAAAGAGGAGAGCAGAGGGCAGGGCTCTTATCAGAGATCATTTGGGTCCTAGAGATGGTCAGAAAGAGTATCTCTCAGCCTAGGCTGAGGACCCCTTTTCTATAATATGCCCTGAAAATTTCGTCAGTTTGGGGCTTCTAAGGCTGCATCTGGTTGAATGAGTGATTGTAGGCGGAGAAAGCTTGTATGTTCTCAGCTGCCTGGACCCAAAATAATGACATAGAAACTATACTGATCACAACACTGCTTGGCCAATTGCTTAGGTGTATTACTAGCTAGATCTTATATATTCTTTTTTTTTTATTATGTATACAATATTCTTCCTGCAAGCCAGAAGAGGGCACCAGACCTCATTACAGATGGTTGTGAGCCACCATGTGGTTGCTGGGAATTGAACTCAGGACCTTTGGAAGAGCAGGCAATGCTCTTAACCACTGAGCCATCTCTCCAGCCCCCTTATATATTCTTTTTAAAGATTTTATTTATTTATTATGTATGCAACATTATGCCTCCATGTATGCCTGTATGCCAGAAGAGGGCGCCAGATTTCATTATAGATGGTTGGGAGCCACCATGTGGTTGCTGGGAATTGAACTCAGGACCTCTGGAAGAGCAGCCAATGCTCTTAACCACTGAGCCATCTCTCCAGCCTGCTTTTATATCTTAAATCAACCTATTTCCATTATTTTATATTTTACCATGAGGCTCGTGGTTTACCAGTAAGGTTTCTGGGCATCTGTCTCCTTCCGCAGCTACATGGCCCCTCTCTGACTCTGCCTACTTTCTCCCAGCATTCAGTTTAGTTTTCCTGCCTAGCTCTATTCTGCCCTTCCACAGGCCCAAGCAGTTTCTTTATTCCTTTTTTACACTTATTTATTTATTATGTATATTATATTCTGTCTGTGTGTATGCCTGCAGGCCAGAAGAGGGCACCGGACCCCATTACAGATGGTTGTGAGCCACCACATGGTTGCTGGGAATTGAACTCTGGACCTTTGGAAGAGCAAGCAATGCTCTTAACCTCTGAGCCATCTCTCCAGCCCCCAGTTTCTTTATTCTTTTTTTTTTTTTTTTTTTTTTTTTTTTTGGTTTTTGAGACAGGGTTTCTCTGTGGTTTTGGAGCCTGTCCTGGAACTAGCTCTTGTAGACCAGGCTGGTCTCGAACTCACAGAGATCCGCCTGCCTCTGCCTCCTGAGTGCTGGGATTAAAGGCGTGCGCCACCACCGCCCAGCTTTTTTTGGATTTTTGAGACAGGGTTTCTCCATAGCTTTTGGTTCCTGTCCTGGAACTAGCTCTTGTAGACCAGGCTGGTCTCGAACTCACAGAGATCTGCCTGCCTCTGCCTCCCGAGTGCTGGGATTAAAGGCCACCACCACGGCCCGGCTAGTTTCTTTATTCTTTAACCAATAAAAGCAACACATATACAGAAGGACTTCCCACACCAAGTGAGTCCAAAGCTGATTCCTCAGCCCAGGTCCCCTGGCACCGAGCAGGACTGTGCCTTGTGCTGGCTACAGCTTGAAGTCTGTAGCTAGAATGAAGAGGCAGCACAGAGGTACCTTCAAGGGTAGGATGGCAAGATGAGAACTGGACAATACGCCATAAGAAGAAAAGAACTCTGCCAAGTATCTCCACTGAGAGCGCCAAGTACGGGTTTCCTCGGCAAAGGCTGGCTCTTCTTATGCTACAATGGCACAGTTGCCTGTTAGGCAAAAATAGCCCCCCCCCCCCCCCCCCCCAGGAATCAGCCACATTGACTTCTCAGCCTCTCCCCATTCATATCTCAATTTATTTATTATGATGTAGTATGATGAAAAGGAGATAAGGTCTCACTATGTAGCCTTGGCTGGTCTGGAGCTTGCTATGTTGACTAGGCTGGCCTCGAACTCATACCTAGCTCAGCCTCCTGAGGACTGGGATTAAAGGCTCTCATTTCAACAAAAGTCAGAGTGTGGGGGTGGTAGGGTCTGCAGGAGATGCCAATCATTAACTCTTGTATCACAGGTGGGCAAACTGGTGTTCATCAAAGCAACTGGAGAGCCTATGGATGTTGGTTCTCCAGCCCCTGACCCTGATCCAGCGATTTACTTTGTAAACAGGTCACATCAAGACAATAGCAGCAGCAGAGGCAGATGGTGTTGGTCCCTACTGTTCAATTAAACCACTAAACTCCCTTCCAGCTTCCCCAAATTGCCCTTCAAGGTCTAAAGCAACATGGGCAACTCTCCTTGAAGCTGCCTCATTTTCCCCAACTGTAAAACAAAAGGGGTAGCCACAGTTCTCTAGAGCAGTTTCCAGGGATTTGTTCCCTGATGCCCTTCTGTCTGGTCCCTGGACTGCTCCAGGACAACTCCAGCCCCAGTCAGAGGCAGGGTTTGAGCCGGGGACCTCGGTGTCTGTTAAGGCCATTATTCTCTTCCCAGCTAGGTAGTCACAGAAAAGCTAAGCATGTTGGAGCCACTGGGCTTTTTTCGTTCGCCTGGCCCGGCTGGATATAGTGGGCTCCTTCTCTTCCAGGTCCAGAAGGATCGAACCCAGGACGCCCCAGTATCCCGTCTACCAACGAACCCCGCCTCCAGATTCCGCACCCACTTTGGAGCCCCGCCTTCTTTCAACCTCGGGGCGGGGCCACCTCGGGGCTGCCCGCGGAGAAGCCCTGACGGTGGGTATCTGGCGCTCGGTTAGAACCAGAGAGCTCAGCAAACGCTTGGGGCGTCCTGAAACCTTCACTCGGTCCCAGTCAACGCTTGGAGTCCTTCGGGTGGACGAGCCGGCCCCGCAGCGTGGGCCATTTCCGAGGCACGTGGTTTCCAAGGCCCCCGCCGGGACTGAGAAAAGTTTATGGTTCTGATCATACCAGAATGGTATAGCATTGCGGGAGGGCAGAAAGAATCCGAGATGCTGCGGCCACCCACAACATCTGGCCTCCTCCAGAGCGAGCATTCGTCGGAAGACCGGCGTTTCCCGAGAGACTCTTTCGAATAGATGCACGGTGTGGAAACAACCGACCGCAAATCACATGTCACCGCTGCACTCCCAGAAGACAGAAACGTCCAGCCACTTCTAAAGCTCCTGGGATGTGCTTCTGCCTCTCAGACGGGTGTGCGCTCCCAGTCCCCGCACAGCCTCTAATCCCTGCTTGGCGTCATCGTCGCCCTCGGCAACACTCCCGGCCGGGAGTCCTGTCCCTTTAAGGCACCCTAGAGCCTAAGTCGTTTTGGTTTCGCGCGCCCGCCCGCAGCTCCGGCAGAGCGACCATGGCCCGGGCGGCGCGCTTTGCGTGGGTTCTTGGCTTGAGCCGGTGCGCCCTGAGGGAGGGGTCGCTCACACGACCCTGGCCGCCAATCTCGGCGCAGAGGTGGGCTGGCTTCACCAGGGCGGCGGCAGGGAGCCCGGGCCCCGCGGTCCGCAAGGGGAGCCCGCGGTTGCTGGGGGCGGCGGCGCTGGCCCTGGGCGGCGCGCTGGGGCTGTACCACACCGTGCGGTGGCACCTGCGCTCCCAGAACCTCCGCGCCGAGCGCCCGGCCGCACAGGTAAGGCTTGGCTGGCACGGGCTACGGACCGGGAGCCGGGATCAGCCCCGAACTCGGGCCTCTTGAGAAGCCTCAGGGTCAGGAGTAGCCTCTTTCGGCCGCTCGTGACCTTGGGCGAGTGTCTTGGCCGTGGGAGTCCGAGGAGGTTCGTACTGATGCCCTTTTACCTAGAGCTGTAAGTCTCTCATGTGGTCTCTACTGTGTTTTGAGTGCGCGGTGCCGCGAGTAGTCTTTGTGGACCGAGTGAGCCGGACTCCAGACCCAGAACTGGAGGTGTGTCCCCGGCTGCGGTGGCTCAGCCTTCCCTGTGGACTTTTCGAGTTGCAGAGCCTCCACCCTACCTCCCATGGCCTATTCCTGGACGCTGGAACTGGAAAGAGAGCTGTTGGCTCGCAGCTCTCCTCTCTGTCCATCCGATCTCCATTTGAAATTGAGGCGGGTGGGTTGCAACTGTAGCAAGTACGCCTGAAGGCTACACTGTGGAGAAGCCGCATATAGTCTCCCTGCATTTCTGTACGTCCGAGGTAGACCTCGCTTTAGGCCAATGTAGCTGCCTGGTCAGCTCTGCTCCTTCCCTAGAGAGGACTGGAGGAGTGGGGGGTGAGCCTTAGTCCTAGCCCTGTGGTATACCAGCTGGGCACTGAGTTGTACCATCACCCCCTGAGCTCCTTGCCCACGCCATCCATTCTCCCTGCTTTTCCCCATTCGTGTATTGTCAGGGTCAGCTTAGAAGGGGACTCCATGGAGAAAGGTTTGCTTGGGGGCTCGGTGCTCTGGGACTCCAGGTGACACCCGTCTTTTTTCTCTCCTCCAGCTGTCCCCGTCCAGCCACCTGCAGCTGACCCTGTACCAGTACAAGACATGTCCCTTCTGCAGCAAAGTCCGTGCCTTCCTCGACTTCCACTCCCTGCCCTATCAGGTAGTGGAGGTGAACCCTGTCAGAAGGACTGAGATCAAGTTCTCCTCCTACAGGAAGGTGCCCATCTTGGTGGCCCAGGAAGGAGACAGCTCGGTGAGCCCTGGGGATCCCATGCCTCTTTTCTGTCCCAGGCTGTCTAGGAGTCTCCCTAAATCTAAAAGAACTCCCTGGTCTCCGCTGAGCATAGGGAAAAGAGCTGGGGTAGAGAAAGGGTCCGTAAATGTGGCCTGGGTGGTGCGTGCTTGTAGTGGCGGCTGCTCCGATGGATCCCTGAGCCCTTGAGGCAGGTAAAGTAGCAGGATGTAGTCTCAACAACAAAACTCAAGGCAGTGTAAAGCCTTTTCTTTCCCTGTTAGCCAGGTCTTGGGGGACCAGGTGGGGCTGCATTTACAGTTGCATAAACTGGTTTGCAGCTGGGGTGGTCTGGGTCTGAGGTGCGGCTCTTCCCCCAATTTCCATTGCTGTGATGAAACACCATGACCAAAAAGCAAGTTGGAGAGGAAAGGGTTATGCCACTCACTGTTCCATATCATCAGAAGCAATGAGGGCAGGAACTCAAACAGGACAGGAACCTGGAGGCAGGAGCAGATGCAGAGGCCATGGACAGGTGCTGCTTTCTAGCTTGTTCCTCATGGCTTGCTCAGCCTGTTTTCTTGTAGAACCCAGGACCACCAGCCTAGGGATGGCCCCGCCCACAATGGACTGGGCCCTCCACCGTCAGTCACTAATTAAGAAAAGGCCTTACAGCTGGATCTTTTTTGTTTTGTTTTGTTTTTTGAGATAGGGTGTCTCTGTAGCTTTTTGGAGCCTGTCCTGTATCTCATGCTGTAGAACTGGTTGGCCTATGAACTCACAGAGATCCACCTGCCTCTGCCTCCCATGTGCTGGGATTAAAGGAGCATGCCCCCACCGCCTGCCCGGCATTACAGCTGGGTCTTATGGAGGCCTTTTCTCAACTGAGGTCCCCTCCTTTCATATAACTCCAGCTGTGTCAAGTTGACAGAAGATAGCCAGCTCAGTTGCCTGCGACTTCGTGACTTTAACCTATGGGGTGGCCTTTTTTATTTTGGATAGACTCTTGTTATATAGCCTGAGTTGACCCAAAACTCAGTATCCATCTTTCTTTTGAGTGCTAGGATTATAGACATGCCACCATCCCCAGATGTAGGGTTGGTTTATTTGTACATTTGTTTTGGTTTGGGGGGGGGGCGGGCAGGGTCTCACTGTATAGCCCTAGCTGTCCTGGAACTATCTGTGTAGACCAGAGTGGTCTTGAACTCATAGAGCTTCACCTGCCTGTGCCTCCCTAGTGCTGTGTCATTGTGTCCAGCTTCTTTATTTTTTTAATTTAATTTAATTTAATTTATTTATTTATTTGGTTTTTTGAGACAGGGTTTCTCTGTAGCTTTGGAGCCTATCCTGGAACTAGCTCTTATAGACTAGGCTGGTCTCGAACTCACAAAGATCCACCTGTCTCTGCCTCCTGAGTGCTGGGATTAAAGGCATGCACCACCACTGCCCGGCATTAAATTTTTTTATTTAACAAAATAAATAAGTTTATTTTGTTAAATTTGTAATGTATAGTGTTCTCTCTACATGTATGCCTGCAGGCCAGAAGAGGACACTAGATCTCAGTACAGATGGTTGTGAGCCACCATGTGGTTGCTGGGAGTTTAACTCAGGACCTCTGGAAGAGCAGGCAGTGCTCTGAACCGCTGAGCCATCTCTCTAGCTCCTGTTAAAATTTTTTACTTAACGGTGGTTTAGATGGCTGGGTAAAGGTGCTGGCTGCCCAACCTGACAACCTGAGTCGGTCCCCAGAACTCAAGGGGGAGAACAGTTCCTGCAAACTACAGTCACACACACACAGAGCAGGAAGCAAGCAAGCAAACCCCCCACCAGGCTTGGTGGTGCACACCTGACCCTCTGCTTCTCAGGAGGCAGAAGTGGCACATCTCTGTGAGGCCCGGCCACCCTGGGCTATGTAGTGAGACCCTAACCCCCAGATTTTTTTCTTTAAATTACATTTTTTATTTACTTACTTAGTGTGTGTGCAGGTGTTGTAGAGGGTTTTTGGTGGTGGTGGTGGTTTTTTGGTTTTGAGACAAGGTCTTATTCTGTAGTGCTGACTGGCCTAGAACTAGCCAGAATTACAGATGTGAGCTAGAGACCATGCGAGGTGTTGGGCTGACTTCTTGATTAGTCTCCAGGAGCCCAGACCCTGGGCTGTAGGGGCGGTAAGGATAAAATCCTGCCACTAGGCTTGGTACCCTGTATGTAGCCTCTGAGTCCTGTCCTGCCTCTGGTGCCAAGAAGCTGTGGCTCTCCCAGTCATATGTCCCCAGTAGCCATATCTGGTCACCCTTACTCAGAAAGAGGGCCTGAGGGTGAGTGGCCAGGGTTTTGGGGTGAGCTGTGATGGCTCTCAGCAGGGCCCAGTTTCAAGGACCAGATACCTTGGGCGCTCCTGTTATTTTGTTGTTGTTGTTTGTTTGTTTTTGACAATGCTGCTGTTTAAGGGCCTGATCCTGCCAACTGCCAGCCAGAGCCTCTGATCAAAACCTGTCTCTGGGATAAGGGGCGTGGCTCAGTAACACAGCTCTTTCCCCTCACGCCTCAGGCCCTAGGTTCACAACAACACAAGACAATTGTTTCTTCTCTTCCAGCAACAGCTGAACGACTCCTCCGTCATCATCAGTGCTCTCAAGACACACCTGGTGTCAGGGTAAGGCGCTCCTGGGATACCCAGCATCTAAGAGTGGGGCTGCTGTAGGTACTTCTAGAGTAGACCAAGGCCTGCCTTCATCTTTCTACCAGGAAAATGTTCTGTTACAAGGAGACCGGGCCCTTTGTTCTGTCCCGGCTGCCCTGCTAGCTTACACCTGAAATAATCACACAGAAACTGCATTCATTTAAACACTGCCTGGCCCATTAGCTCTAACTTCTTATTGGCTAATTCTTACATCTTAATTTAACCCATTTCTGTTAATCTGTGTATCACCACATGATTGTGGCTTTCTGGCAAGATTCTAACCAGTGTCCGTCTCAGACAGGAGACCCAGGGCATCTGCCACTCTGCCCTTCTTCCCAGCATTCAGTTCTGTCTACTCTGCCTACCTAAGTTCTGTCTTATCAACTAGGCCAATGCAGTTTCTTTATTCATCCAGTGAAAGCAACACATAGACAGAAGGAACTCCTACACCAGTGTTTCTCATGTCTAACTTAATCCCTTTTGCTGCAAGTAAGTGACCCTTCCTAGGTTGGGTCATGGCTCTAGCCCAGGGCTGGGTCACTGAGTGGCTGAGTCAGGCTGGGATGGTCTGGGTTGGTAGGCCAAGGGGGCATGAGGACTGAGTCAGGCTGAAGCTCTGGCCTTTCCCTGAAGGCAGTCCCTGGAAGAGGTCATCACCTATTACCCACCCATGAAGGCCATGAACGATCAGGGCAAGGAGGTGACCGAGTTCTGCAACAAGTACTGGCTCATGCTGGATGAGAAGGAGGCCCAGCGGATGTATGGCGGGAAGGAAGCCAGGACGTGAGTGGCACTGTGGTGCAGGAGGGGTGGGGTGGTAAGGACCAGTGGGTTCTCAACCTATGGGTCGTGACCCCTTTGGGGCTCAAACATCCTACATAATACAAATACAGATATTTGTATTATGATTTGTAACAGTAGCAAAACTACAGCTAGAAAGTAGCAATGAAGTAATTTTAGGGAACCACCGCTCTGGGGAGTCTTGTGGGAGATGAGTGCCAGGGGCCACGCCGTTGCAACACGCTCTGTGTCCCGTGTCTGCAGGGAGGAGATGAAGTGGCGGCAGTGGGCAGACGACTGGCTGGTGCACCTCATCTCTCCCAACGTCTACCGGACGCCCACCGAAGCCCTGGCTTCCTTTGACTACATTGTCCGTGAGGGAAAGTTTGGGGCTGTGGAGGCCACCATGGCCAAGTATGTGGGCGCAGCGGCCATGTACCTCATCAGCAAGCGCCTCAAAAGCAGGTGATGGCTCGTGCAAGTATATGCACACGAGGGAACAGGGTTCTGCTGTCCCCCAGTCTGGGCATGGTGGTCTGTGTAGCATCCATCAAACCCTTCGGGAGGGGAGAGGGAAACTGAGGCATAGAGACGGCAAGCCCGGCCTGGGACCCAGCTGTGTGATGAGTCCCTGTCTCAGGCTTTGGGGTCAGAAGTCACAGTCCTGCCCTGGGCCCTTTACTTCTGCCTCCTTGTCAGGGTCCCGTCCTCGTCTGGAACCACACAGCATCACTCGCTGGGGGCAGGTGCTCCGCGATGTGGGTACCATCCCTCACCTAGGACCACCCCAGTTCCCTGACCAGCCTCTCTGTCTCTCCCCAGGCACCACCTGCAGGATGATGTACGTGCAGACCTCTATGAGGCAGCCAACAAGTGGGTGACCGCAGTGGGCAAAGACCGGCCGTTCATGGGGGGCCAGAAGCCTAATCTTGCTGACCTGGTGGGTATGATGGTGGTAGATAGAGTGGCCTCCCCTTGGAGTGGGATCTTGGGAGGGAAAGTCCAGGCAAGGCCTATGTTTTGCAGCTTCCTTCTCCCCGGAGTAATTATATCTGTTTTTCCCCTCTTGGTTCTCTTACCTGAAAGGCTCAGGAAGGGGCTCGTTGCAGGCTGGGCAGGATCTAGGGGCCTGAGTGGCAGAAGCAGGGCCTCAGCTCTCCGTCTAGTTTCCTGGCTTGGTTGTGGCCCGCACGGCTCTAGGCTTCCACCCGGCAGTCTCGCTGCTCTCCCTGGCTTTCAGCCCTGTCCTTGCGCAGTCCTGTAACCAGATAGCCTGGGTCTGACCAGGTGCTGAGATAGCGCCTCAGATCTTACACACCAGGTAGCAGACGGCCCATTTGGATGCCTCTGTGGGCCCAGTGCGATGGCTGTTCTTACTCCTTCCCTAGGCAGTGTATGGTGTGCTGCGAGTGATGGAGGGTCTGGAGGCCTTCGATGACCTGATGCGACACTCACGCATCCAACCTTGGTACCTACGGATGGAGCGGGCCATTGAGGAAGCCCCATCAATGCATTGAGTCCCCTGCAGCTGCAGAGACTAGCGCCGAGGGGTCAAGACCTCCCGACTAGCCCCTGGCCATGCCATAGGGGGCAGAGTCATTTTGTCTCTGGTCCACCCAGCCCCCTGGCCCTCTACTGGACATTACTAGGGTCCTTGCCACTGGAGACAAGGCCCAGGCTCACAGCTGTTCTGAGGGTTGCAGGTCAGGGGTTGCAGAGGACTGACTGCCTTCCAGCCCCAGTTCCAGGGGCCTGCTCTCAGCAGGGATTCCTTTTCAGCTCCCCCAGGGCTCCTTGACTCCCTATTAGCAAGGATCAGACTGGCTCCCACCCTGGACCAGAGGAGGACAGTCTGCATTAGGGAAAGCCCCATTTCCTCGTTCCAGTTCTTCCCAGGTACCCCTGGGACTATTGTATTTCCAATAAAGGAGATGTCTGCTACTCCGCTCAGGCAGCTACTGTTCTGAGGTCTGGTCTGTGTGGGAGGGGCTGCAGGGGCTGTCCGTCAAGGAAAGCCAGGGCAGGTTGCATTAACCCTGGTGCCTCTGCTGTGCTAGTGGCTCCCCTTGAATGTCACCAGACTCTTGAACACGGACAGAGCTTAGGGCGGGGACACTCCTCTCCAAGCCTCCAGCTATCAGATGGGCAGATTGGTAGTCCTACTTCTGAGAAAGTTGTGGGCAAATTGGGTTTGGTTGCGCACTCCTGTAACCCCAGCAAACAAAAGGCTGAGGCTGGAACACCGAGAGTTTAGCCTGGACTGCTCTGTTGGTGGAGTTACAGATCCCTGGGTTCCATAAGGCAGGGTGTGGCAATACACCTGGTGGGTGACGGGAAGGTCAGTTCAAAGTCTCCTTATATACAGCGAGCTTGAGACAAGCCCAGGTTATATGAGACAGCCTCAAAATAAAACCAAACCTAACAAAGTTGCCATGGGATGAGGAGGTAGGGGACTGGAGCAGGTCAGGTGCACATCAGGATACCAAGCTTGATGAGGCTGGGACAGAGTCTGTAGGCTTTTGCTTGTTTTAATTCATTTTATTTTGTTTGTTGTGTGAAGGCCACTTGTTGGTTCCCGGCTGCTCAGCCTCGAAAAAATCACAGAAACTGTATTAATTAAATCACTGCTTGGCCCATTAGCTCTAGTTTCTTATTAGCTAACTCCTATATATTAATTTAACCCATCTCCATTAATCTGTATCGCCATGTGGCAGTGGCTTACCGGCAAAGTTTCTGCATGTCTCTCTCTGACAGTGGCTCCATGTTGGCTCCTTGGCTTCTCCGTACTCCATCTTCTTCCTCCCAGCATTCAGTTTAGTTCTCCCCACTCCCAGCTCTGTTCTACCCTATCAGGCCAAGCCAGTTTTCTTTATTCATGGATGGTAATCACAGCATACAGAGGGAAATCCCACATCATTTGTTTGCTTTTTTTTTTTTTTTCTTGAGGCAAGGCTTCTCCATGTAGCTCTGGCTGTCCTGAAATTCGCTCTGTAGACCAGGCTGGCCTCAAACTCAACAGAAATCCGCCTGCCTCTGCCTCCTAAGTGCAGGGATTAAAGGCGTGTGCCACCACTGCCCAGCTTAATGTATTCTTTAATGTGTGTGAATGTTCTGCTGGCGCCCTGTCTGCACCAAGTGCATGCTGCACCACGTGCATGCTGCACCACGTGCATGCCTAGTGCTTGCAGAGGCCAGAAGAGGGCAATGGACCCGCTGGGAGTGAAGCTGCAGGTGGCTGTGAGCACCCAGTGTGGGTGCTGGGAACCTGGGGCCTCTCATCTGTAGTCCTCTCCAGTCCATGCTCATAACAGCACCATGTAGGTAAGTACCTGAGATGGCCTGTCCAGCTGTGTGGAAAAGCTTCCAGGCTATTCTGCCTCTGTGCCCTCCAACCTCGGCAGCTAGTATATACCACACTGGTTCCTCTGTGCAGGGCACCGTTCATATATGCCGCGGCCCACTTACTAGCGTTTGCCCTTGGGGGTATTAGGTCTCAGCATTTGGGGCTGCAGGAGGAAGTGAGGACTTGGGCTTGCGGCAGTGTTCCTGGTACAGGTGGCATGGAGGTCATCTCTAGACCTTATGGAGACCCCAGAGCCACAGCTGTTCCCAGTTACTGGACACACCTGGAGTCTGAGGGACCTTGGTCCAGATTATACCTTGTGAACCCCTGAGTACCTACAACAAACAGAAACAGCAAATATTGCAGTGAGTACAGGAATGTGAAGGTCTTTCATCCGTCTGTCCTCTGTCTTCCCATTGCTGCAGCTCTCCATCCTCCAACCCATCATCTATTGTAACGTCCGCGCTACTACGTGTACTACGGTCCTGTAGCGCCTGTACTACATGTGCTATGGTACTATGCCTGTAGCTTACCTGGATGGTTTTCGAGTGGGGCAAGGGGCCAGGGAGATTCGTGCAAGGGTCCTAGAGATTGAAGCACACACATACACAGAGGAAAGACATGGGTCATCCTTGAAATGAGAACACCAAGAATGCCCACTTTATTGTGTTACAGGGCAGCCTATATAGGCTCTCCTTGACCAATGGCCACTGCAAGCTACCAGACGCCATTCCTCTGTCTCATGGCACTGGGGACTCTGGGGACTCTGGAGTGATCCTGAGGATTTTTTCCCAGAGGATTTTTTTTTAAAAGATTTATTTATTATGTATACAATATTCTGTCTGTGTGCATGCCTGCAGGCCAGAAGAGGGCACCAGATCTCATTACAGATGGTTGTGAGCCACCATGTGGTTGCTGGGAATTGAACTCAGGACCTTAGGAAGAGCAGGCAATGCTCTTAACCTCTGAGCCATCTCTCCAGCCCCCCCCCCCCCCCCAGGGGATGTTGTAGGTAGGGAGAAATCTACACTGACTGAGCAGGTGATGGGAACTCCAAGGATGGTGCTAGCCAAACCGGCTTCCTGTGACTACCCTGGAGAATGACTGAAGCTGCCACAAACAACACCTAGGCCCAGCTTTCTTCTTACAATACTTCTTTCAATGTGCTTCCCCACAGCCACCAGGAAGCACTAGAGGGCCTCCATAGCCTGTAAAGCTCCCGGTACCACCAGGAGGCACTAGAGAGCCTCCAAAGCCTGCAATGCTCTCAACGCCACCAGGACAAACTGGAGAGCCTCCATAGCCTGTAAAGCTCCCAGTATCACCAGGAGGCACTAGAGAGCCTCCAAAGCCTGCAATGCTCTCAATGCCACCAGGACAAACTGGAGAGCCTCCATAGCCTGTAAAGCTCCCAGTATCACCAGGAGGCACTAGAGAGCCTCCAAAGCCTGCAATGCTCTCAATGCCACCAGCAGGCACTAGAGAGCATCTAAAGCCAGCGGCAATGCTTCCCAATAACACCTAGAGAACCTCTGAAGTCTGCGGGAGATGGAAACAGCACGTGGCAGCCACATTGTGGCCAATTCCGGCTTTAGTTAGGTGACCTTCATTATCCAAATAGCCCATCTGAGATTTAGCATTTAAGAGTCTGGAGATGAGTAAGAAAATCATAGTTCATGGGGTCTCTGAGCTAACCCAGGAACCACTGCCTGATCTTTGTCACGTCAGGTCACACTAAGTCTCCAGAGGTCTGTAGCTCAGGCTGGACTGGAACCTGACCTTGAACTTGTAACCTCCTCCAGCTTCCTAAGTGTTGGCATTACAGAGGTGCACCATGTTGCCCAGCTTCACCTATGGTCTTGGCAGAGGCTGGAGTTTGCCCCCCCCCGCCCCGTCCACTCTTGGCTGTGACCTTGGACAAGCCTCATCCCTCCTGTGAACTGGCATCAGTGACCATCTGTGGGGTTGGTGAGGCTGGGGTCCAGAGGTGTTTGGAAGGTGGTACAGGCTTGGTATTGAAGGAGTGACTGGTGTAATCTGTGAGGTCAGCTGTCTAACCCAGAGCAGCATCCCTATGGCTCCCAGTATTGAGTCAAGGACATAGGAAGTAGGACTGGAGAACCCTGAGACCAAGATATCTCCTCCATGCTAGCTAGGGAGGGAACCAACGTGGAGCATTCTAGCTTCCTGCTTTTGTTTGTTAAATTTCCATTTAAAAATATTTTGAAAAATTATTTTAAAGTACTGCGTGTGTGTCCAGGCGCACGTGTATGCTTGCACACAAGGAGGCTAGAAGCATCCGTTGCTCCTGGACTGGAATTAGAGGCTTTGTGAGCTGCCCGACCTGGGAGCTAAGAACTGAATCTGGTCCTTCTGCAAGAGCAGTTCTGTGTTCCTAACCACTGAGCCGTCTCCCCCACCCATCACATTTTCTTTGGGATTAGGTGAACAATGGATGCTTATTCTCCATAGAAACTGTTCTGGAATAAAGCTGTTCTTTCTCGCCAGTTCCAACAAGTGCCTGATACTCCGGTGTGCCACATTCCTTGGGCATTACCTCTGCGTATTTAAACAATAGAGAGGATCTTGACGGGTGGGGTGTTTGATGGCACCAGAAAATGAGTACCTTTTTGCTTTTAGAGATGGGGTCTGTCTGGACTCCAGGCAGCTCTAGAACTCAATGTATATAGTTCAACTGGCCTGGGACCCCTGTAACCCCTGCTGTTACAGCCTCCTGAGGGCTCGGGCTATTGATGTAAGGTCACAACCAGCAGGGAACTGTGGCCGGGTGGGGGGAGCAGTGTGACCAGCTGATTCTCCTTTCCCAGAACTTGTTGCGCTTGCTGTGGTAAAGGGAATTTACAGGTGTGATCAAACTGCCCATTTTGAGATGGAGAGATTGTCTAGGCAGGCACTAAAAGCAATCAAGAGAGGCAAACAGAAAGCCAGGTGGGTGTCACAAGCCTGCAATCCCAGTGTACTGCGAAGTAGAGGCAGGAAGATTAGGAGTTCAAGGTCAGCTTCTTCCTCCTCTACAAGGTGAGTGTGAAGCCAACCCTGGCTACAGCAAACAGAGGGAGATGCGGTCAGAGTCAGAATGCGCCTCTGTGTGGAAGCAGGCAGCTGGAGGAGTCAGAAAGGGTCACTAGTCAAGGGCTACAGAAGCCTCCAGAAGCTAGAAGATTGTTCCGAAGCCTGCAGGCAGAGCCAGACCTGCTGACACCCTAACTCCAGTCAGCGGAACTGACTTTGGACTTCAGGCCTCCAGAGACTGGCATGCTCTGAATCACTGAGAGTAGAGTGTGGTTGCTGGTACAATGGTCCTGATGCTAATACAGAGGCCACACATAGGGTAGTCAGGAGGGAGAAATGAGTGAGGGGCTTGGTCTCCTGTGTCCCCCATTTGTGAAGTTAGGGAGAGCCAGGCACCCCGTAAGCTGATGAGATCCGCTTCCTCTCCCATCAGCCTCAGCAAGAGTCGTGTGAGAGAGAGACCCCTCCAGGACCCTAGGGTGGGCTCACAGCAACAGAAAAGGACGGAAGAGTTCATTCGCTGGGCTGCTCTCCTGTCTGACCCTGTGCTCGTGGACTCTGTCCAGCAGGCCCAGTTGGACGATCACCAGCTGTCTCTG